TATATATATATATATATAATTCCATCAATAAGAACATTACTTTAGCCTGATGAAGTCCTTTATGGGACAAAATACAATGAAATGCTTAATAATTTAACATAAAACGAAAGCAGTCAAACAAAACAAAATTGGATCATTATTATCGGGGTGAGAGCGAATGAGGATCTCACATACTATCATTAAGATATAAATTGATCTGTAAATTTCTTTATTCTTCTGTATATTAACGGGATTATGCTAAAAAAAGTCACATCACGATGTAACGTCCATGCCGTGTTACCTATGAAACTAATCCTGCCATTGTAATATACAGGGCCCTTTTTTATATGTAACAATATAAATCATGGAAAAAGCATTATCTGTCTTAATTCATTGCAAGCAGTATAAATCTTTATGGTCTTTAAGCAGTATTATAGCATTTATATATACTTTTATTATTGTGCACCCAATAAAAGACCTAAATGCCACTGAAGGTTGAGGGTTAAAAATGGTGATGATATAAGGGCGTATAGAGAGGCCGTAAGGGTTGCATATTATGAGGATATGTAGGATAGATAATATTTCACTCTCGACTTAGAAAGATTACGTGTGCATTGCTCAGTAAAGTACCCTCTTGGGAGTCCGTTCCTCATTGCAACAGTTCTGGTAAAGAAACAATATGAGTAAAACTTACTCCTTACCAATGGAATATGAAAGAAATGAGGATGAGTTGACTCAGTGTGTGTGACCTATCGGGTCCTAACTGTAAAGTTCTGGTCTGGGGGGAACAAAGGAAGTTAGTCCGCCCGAGCAGGATGTGGCAGAAGGCCGTTTTTAATGCAGGGTCAAAACCGAGCCCGTAGGTTCGGGCAAAATTCCCCGTAGACCCCGTAAAAAATGGGGCCAGGTAGCTGTCTACCACCCCAGAGAAGACTCTGTCCTTCGGTATAGCCTCGTCTGGGTCCCTCCCTGCCCGAAGGCAGAGAGTTCGACCAGCACAGCTGGAGACGAATCTCCAGCTAATTCCCGAAGCAAGGATATTTGCCAACTGCCCCACGCAGATGTGGCACAAGGCCGAATTTAACGTTGGGTTTCCGAGGCCGTATGCACGGAGTCGGATAGCTGTCTACCACCCCAGACGAGACTCTGCACTTCGGCATAGCCTCGTTTGGGTTCCTCCCTGCCGAAAGCCAGAGCGTTCGACTAGCATAGCTGGAGACGAATCTCAAGCTAATTGCCGAAGCAATTCCCAGGTTTATCCTGTGCTCACTATATGTAGCTTCTGATATAGTCAGTCCACATAGGCAATAGGGAGTGTGGAACATTACAACAAATCGTCACTCAGTCTGTCTTTATATCATGAAAATAGCGATACGGTAGCGAGAGGCTAGCACTGTTTCGTCTGTGGGTAAATGATTGAACGTTAGATAACATTTCATCACTCACAAGATGAGGTAAACGCCTTTGAACTCAGTTGCACCTGGAAAATATGGGCGGATATCTCCGGGCACCATTACCGGGCAAGATTTACCCTCGTCACGATGGTAGGTCGTATTCATTTATGTACCTTGATGTGAACACCGATTGAGGCACCTAACCTCAAGTGAAATTCTTATATCTGAAACATTGCTAAATACGTTGCAAAAATATGCCATTCCGGAAACTGACATCACTAGCCATGCCGTATCTTTGCCAGAATCAGATCAGGTCAAAAATGGAGTACTGCTGCCCAACCCCCAATTTACACGAATTTAGTGGATAATGGTTTATTTTCCACAGTACAACTCATTTTCCACAGACGAAACGTTGCTAGCCTCACTATAGTTATTTTCAGAGTGAGTGACCAAGGGTTCATTACTGGTGGACACAATCTTAAAAAACATTAGATATGCAGACGACAGAATGTCAGTAGTAGACACCGAAAGGAAACAACACGAACTTCTACAGAGAGTGATAACGTAAGGAACTAAATATAGGTACCTCCAAAGAAACGTGATACCTAAGATTGAAAATGAATATAAAAAAATTAAAAATCTTTCTTCAAGTTTTTATTTTAGTAGTAATTTCAAGCTAATAAGTTAAATTTAATATTTCCAATAAGCAAAATATTTTGCTGTATTTCAAAACAAATTTAAATTGACTGAAAGGAGTTTTTAATCGCTAAAAATCGCTGATTTTCAACCATTTTTAGCCTCCTTTCAGTACAATATAATTCACGTTATTAAAAAATCTTTCAAAAATAAAATATTCTTTTCTGAATCTTTATTTGAGGAATATCAATCTGACTTAAACTTTAATTTGATTTGAAAGAAATATTACTTACATTTAAAATATCGCAAAAATGCTTTTTTTCCAGAGTTCGATGATTTGATTAGGTGTTGATAGATTGACAGCCGGAAGTAATTTTTTTCTACGGGGAATATTATCTGTAAAAATTACTTGAGGGCTATAATATAAGCAACCTTTTTATAAATTTTTAACTACCCAATAATCTTTAAAAATTAAGAAAATATTCTCCATAATCTAATATTTTATTGAATTTAGGTACTTTGGCTTTAAATTTACTATAGTTTACACTATTAGATTCTAACAATGTCGTGTATGGACATCCATATTTAGAAAATTGGACACGTAATTATACACGCAGATAATTTTTTAAACATACTGGTGATCGCTGAATTGTAGTAAGCTGTTTAATTATGTTTCGTAAAAATAGTTTTTATTTAATAGCAATATCACCTAACTGGTGCAAATTAATACATAATATTAAAAGTTTTAAAGCCTCATAAATTATTCGAATTAAAATTTTTAAAAATGAAAACAATTCTTGTAAAATAAGTAAATAAATAAACAAATAAATAAATAAACAAATAAATAAATAATAATTGATGATTTAAATTCACCAAGTGTAACTAATATAAACATTAAGTGGTACAAAAATTAATTTCTCGAAATTTCATAAAATTAAATAAGTCGTGGGTTTCAGATTGAAAGTAAAACGCTTTTTTTTTCTAAAATAATTTAATTCATTTGTGAATAAGTCTTGAAAGTTTCATTAAAATTCGTCAATTATTTTATTTTTGCAAGAATTTTTTTCATCGCAAAAAGATGCTTATATTCCTATACTAATTTATAGCTCCCAACCGTCGTTGACGCAAGAAAAATGAAATTTTTCTACCAAAATTTCGATCGTTCTAAGGGAGTGTTTTAACAAAGGCCAGAGAAAGCAACACCGAAGGCTCAATGGGATAGCGAAAGATGCCTTCTAAAAGCTAAGCAAAGTATGAGAAACAGGAAAAGTTCGTTAGAAGTAAAAAAAAAAAAAAAGAAAAAAGTTCCTTAACTGTTATGTAATATCAGTCCTCCTATACGGCAGTGAATGTTAAACAGTCTTATCACAGACGAGGAAAAGACATGTGGCAGCAGACATGTGGTCATAAAGAAGGATGTTGTGTATGCGAGCACTGAACGAAGGATTTAAAGAAAATGGAAACAAAAACAATGTTTTACATTAGAAAGAAACATTACTAGAAAATGCCATCAAAGATTAAGAGAAAACTGGCGCTACAGAAGGATATTGAGAATACTATAGAAATAGCACTGAAGAAGCGTTGAAGAAGTCTTAAGGAAAAAGAAAACTTATATTCAGAGTGAGAAAGAGACAAATGAATGTTCTTGGACACATGAGGAATAAAGGTTTGGAGAATTTGACACTCACAACATAGACCGAATGCGAAGCGGACAGTGAAAGACAGCAGGCAACCTACCTGTCGAGTTTTCTGTCAATAAAATATAACGTATTTCTACAGAAGGATACTGAGAATACCATAGTCAGAGCACTGAAGAATTATTGAAGAAGTCTTAAGGAAAAAGGAAACTTATATTCAGAATCGTAATGGATTAGTAATGGATAACGGCTCGGATTGAGGAATCAGAGAGGCGGGTTCGAATTCCAGTCGAATCCATTAGATTCACTTACGTGCTAATACCCTTGGGAAAGGTATAAATCCTCTTCTTCTTCTCCCCAAGCTATGGGAAAATAGCAGGACAGACCGGGTTCTATAGACTCGGATGGCAACTGGTCTATCGCAGAAAGAAATGGCAACCTATTGCGGAAAATTCTGCCTCGTCAGTCATGTATCGAAAGATACATGATCGCTTAAGCGTGTCATGCCTGGCACATAAGTGACAGAAAGACATTTTTCGAACATTTCCTGAAATTTTGGGAACTAGAGAGCCTCCAGCAGGACAGACCGGGTTCTATAGCCTCGGATGGCAACTGTTTTATCGCAGAAAGAAATGGCAACCTATGCGGAAAATTCTGCCTCGTCAGTCATGTATCGAAAGATACATGATCGCCTAAGCGTCTATCACGCATGGCACATAATTGACTAATATTCAGAACCAGAAAGAGACAAATGAATATTCTTGAACACATGAGGAATGAGGGATTGAAAAATTTGACACTCACAGCCAATATCGAATGTAAAGCGGACAGTGAAAGACAGTAGGCAACCTACCTGTCGAATTTTGTGTCAATGAAATATGGAATGGTTAGGTGGGTTGAGCTACAAGTGATAGAACATTGTGGAGAGCCGTGATCGTCTCTGCACTGAGTGTACCCGGCACTGAAAAAGAGAAAAAAATATATCCAAATAAAATTCTAACGCTGGAATTTCCCAAAAAACACTAATCAGAGATAAAATAACACTTTCCTTTTTGCGGTCAGTCTCGTTGTATGTGTTCGCGGAAATAGAGCGGCTGAAACTACATTCATACGGCTGGCATTGGTAATAAGAATAATAAACAAATAAATAAATAAATAAATAACAGCACCCCCACACCCCGGCTATAGACCCCCCCCTTCTTTTAGGTGCGATATTTGTAAAGGCCATTTGTTATTAGGTTCAGACAAGATCGCCAACTGGGCAAACATTCGACGATAGTCTTTCAAGGGTCCCTACACCATTGCTAGCTGTCACGTGCACATCCCTCGCTTTTTTTTTTTTTTTTTTTCACAGGGTACCTCTTTACCCCGCATATCTCATTACCCGATCTACTAATCACGCCTCATCCAGTTTTGATATATCGCCCCCACCTTCCTTTACCTTATCTTCGTTCAGCTCCCTCTCGACCATCTATGCCTGCACGCGAAGCCTATTTTTTCCCAGGCTCTTCCTGACTAAGCTACTCTTTTAGGAGCACCTGCTAGTAGCAACTGAAGAAAGCAGAAAAACAACTTCGAAAAAAAGATAAATATATAATTCGACCATTTTCTTCACGTGACAATGGTTCTGGCTCCGTAGAGTCTGCAGGAAAAGTCGTAAATTCAACAGCCTGGTCCAAGTAACCCCCTTCTTCTTCATCCTTAACCTCTACTTTTTTTACGTCTTCTTTTTTCTTTCGCTTTTTTTTTTTCTGCTTGCTTTGCCTTTTCTATCTTTGTTCTTCTCTTGTTGTCATCGTCATTTTCTTCAACCTTCTTTTCACTCCTCCTTTTTGAACTTGTTCATTTTTCCTTCTTTTTCCGCTTTTCTCTTCATCCCTCCCTACCTATTTTCTCTTCCTAGACCGTATATTCAGTGCTTTCTTTCTTTCTTTCTTTCTTTCTTTCGTTTTTCATTTAGTTCTTCTTCTTCTTCTAGTCATTTTTATTTATCTTTTCTCTTTCTCTACATTCTTCCTTTCAACCTTCCTTTTTTCATCGTGAGCTTTTTCTTTTTGTTTGCTCTATTTTCGTATCCTCGTCCTTTTTAGTCAGCCCTCCTCCTCGTCTTCTTTTTCCTCTTCTTCTTGTTCTTTCTTTCTTTCTTTCTTTCCCTGAATCCTTCGTGTTCCATTTTCCTTCTTTTTCCTCTTTTCATTATCGTTATCACATATCTACAAACATCATAATTGCAATATTAACAACAATCCAGCATTTTCATTCCTTGCTTTCCTCTTTATCTTCTTCGTCTTCCACTATTGCTGCTCTTACAACTATTATTACTAATACTACTAATACAGCTAATAAATAAATAAAAATAATAATGATGATAATTAAGATATAGTCAACCTCATAAAATTCTATTTTTCTCGATTTCTTTATCTATGTTAACATTTTCTTAATACTTAATTTTTTCTTATTTTATTATTCCTTGACTTTATCTCATATTCTCAGATTTCGTTTTTCTTTTTCTTCTTCTTCTTCTTCTTCTTCTTCTTATTATTATTATTATTATTATTATTATTATTATTATTATTATTATTATTTCTTTCAAATTAATTTTTATCTCTACTTATTTCTCTATTTTCCTTCTTCTTATTTTCTTCTTCTTTCTCAATTTTTCTTTCTTTCTTTCAATCTTGATCTTTTCTTGCAGAATATTTCTTCCTTCTCTGTATATTTCGCCCGATTATAATTCCTTCCTTCCTCCCTCCTCTGTTTTTATCTAATTTCTATTTTATCTTTCTCGCTTCTCATTGCTCTTTCACTATCCCCCCCCTATCTCTCTCTCTTCTTTCTTATCGGTCTTTTTCCTTTTGATGTTCATTCTTCGTTTCATTCTTCTAATTTTTACTTCATTCTTTCTTTTTTTTCTTTCTTTCTTTCTTTCTTTCATTTTTCGTTCTTTAATTTTTTGTACTCTTCCTTCTTTCATTTACTCATTCTATTTTTCTTAATTTTAACTCACTTTTTCTTTTTTTAGACTCTCTCATTTCATCCAGCTACTTTTCATTTTTTATTCTTTCTTTTATTTCTTGCACTTCATTTTTTTAAAATTTCTTCTTCTTCTTCTTCTTCTTCTTCTTCTTCTTCTTCTTCTTCTTCTTCTCATTATTATTATAAGTAGTAGTCGTATTCAACCCTTCCTTCTTCCAACTATTCTCTTTGAGAATTCTTTTTCCCTATTCCTTTTCTCTCGAAATTGTCCACTTTCATTCTTTCCTTCACCAACTGCCCCACATTAAGCCTTTCTTTCTTTCTTTCTTTCTTTCTTTCTTTCTTTCTTTCTTTCTTTCGTTTCATATTCCTCATCCTCTCATTCTTCCTTCTTTTCCTTTTCTTCTTCTTTTTAATCGTCCTTTACTCCTTTTCGTGTTTTGTTTTCTTTCTATTTTTATTCGCATCTTGCGTTTTTACCTCTTCTCCTCTCCATCGGTTTAATTCTTCTTCTTCTTTTTTTTAACTTCCTCCCTCTCTTAGCTTTTCTTGTTCCCCTTTCTTCATCATTCCCTCCATCATCCCACTCACTCCATAATTTTCCTTTTACTCCTCCTACCCAACGTCATCGCCCTTCTTGCTCTTTTTATTCTGCATCAGTTCCTGCACTTCATCCTCTTTCTACATCTCACAGGTTCCTATCTTCGTATCTTCTTCTTCTTCTTCTTCTTCTTCTTCTTCTTCTTCTTCTCTGGCTTCCTTTCCTCCCATTACTTATTCTCCTCCAGCTCTTCCTCCATTTACCTCTCCTTGATCCTTGTTTCCCGTGGGTACAGCCCGAGCTTAGAATCTTACGGTGCTGGACATCTGTCACCTGGTTGCTGTTGCACTGACTAACCCAGTTAAAAAAAAAATACTAAATTCATTCGACGCTTTTCATTTTCTTCTGAGCGGAATCTCAACTTGGCTTTTCCGGCCCCAATCTGCTTTTTTCAACATGGTTGTCTGTTGCCATCCACCATCTCTTTGGGGATTTCTCGCAGCCTCCACTCTATCTATCTATCTATCTATCTATCTATCTATCTATCTATCTCAGCCTGTTTCCTAATGTCTGTCTGCCTATCTATTTATCTATCTATTTTATCTCTGTCTATCCCAGTCTATTCACATCTATCTATCTATCTATCTATCTATCTATCTATCTATCTATCTATCTATCTATCTATCTCAGTCTGTTTCCTAATATCTATCTATCTATCTATCTATCTATCTATCTATCTATCTATCTATCTCAGCCTGTTTCCTAATGTCTGTCTGTCTATCTATCTATTTATCTATCTAATTTATCTCTGTCTATCCCAGTCTATTCACATCTATCTATCTATCTATCTATCTATCTATCTATCTATCTATCTCAGTCTGTTTCCTAATGTTTATCTGTCTGTCTATCTATTTATCTATCTATTTTCTCTCTATCTATCCCAGTCTGTTCATATCTATCTATCTATCTATCTATCTATCTAATTTTACTACCTAAGTTGGTTAATCTGCAAACATATCTTTCACTCTGTTCATACGTTTGTTTCTATAAGAGTGGTACTTATCTTTGCAACTTCCGTCATTTGAAACGGTCTTCGTCTCAAAGTGTTCCATATTAGTTGAAATTAAATGCAAATTTTTTTCTGTTTTTTTTTTTTTCCAAATCAATTAATATTTAGGATATGCGCAATGAGCTTGCATTTTCTTCTTATCGTACGCATCCCGGGAAAATGCATTACAAGAAAAATTATACGTACGATCAGAATATTTCTGGGACACATGGCGAGGAAAGATGGCCTAAAGAACTGAACACTTGCAGGGCATACTAAATCCAATGGAAGCTGGGGAACAGCGTTAACTTACAAGAACAAAAAGCAATGGTAAAGTTCAACATTTAATTCTTCTATACGCCGCGTCCCTTCAGAACGTGTGCGATTCATAGCTCTACAAAATTTCCTGTACTTTGAAGCCTTTAGTAAATTTTGCCTTTTTGCTATATCCCCTAATCTCTCTCCTGGCAACCCTAAATTCAAGTTCGTTAGGTAGGTTGTACGTTGCGTATATTTGGCGTCCCTATTGACATTGTCTAAATTTTCTATAAAATTTCGCCTTTGATCGCATGGTATGCTCATCATCCTTCTGTAGAACCATATTTATGCAGCCTCATATATCTTTTCCATCTATGTTGAGATGGTCCGGTAGTCAGTGCTTTATAGGGCGAGCGATCTTACATAACTTTTCAGTACTCTTTTCTTTGTTCCCAATGAAACTTTCTAGTTTCTTAATACTTTGCTTAACTTTTGGAAGGCATCCTTCTCTATTCGAATGCTCTTTCTCATTTCGGTGTCATATTTTCCATCTTCACCATTTACTTAGAGCAACGAAATGGCAGAATGTCGTGCAGAGAGTTATGATCACCCACGGCCTGAAAGAACAGAAGAAGAAGAAGAAGAAGAAGAAGAAGAAAAGGGTTGTTTAGAAAATGCTGTAATCTAATCGCTTGTTAAGTACAATTTTTTTTTCCTTAAAATATAATCATATCTGTTCTCCAGCCCATAACTGTTAAATTGAATACAACAAAATGAAGTACACGAGGCTGACTTATCTATTTGGATATCTGAACGCTTTGGCGTTGACATAGCTTGTTGTTATGAGACAATAGCTTTTATTCTGGTCACATGTCATTGCTTACTATATTTTTACCTATCTAATATATCAGATTGTATAAAATTTGGACTAATCAATCGATGTTGATTAAATTTTCCGGATATATAAATATTTATATAATTAATATATCGTGTTATCTTCAACTTTAAATATTTATACTCATTAAAATATATATAATAATAACAGTCCGTTTTTCTTAGACATATTTAGAATATCGTATATACTAGAGTATAGAGCGAGATTTTATAATCATTTTTACGCAGAAAAATAGGAGAATGCACTCTGCACAAGTAATATTTTTTAAAAGATTAAAAACCATGCATTTTTGGTAGATGGTTGCACTATGCACAACATAGTTTACGATAAGTGGCTTTTGGGGTAGCTTTGTACAAGAAAGAATGAAGATCATTTTTTTGTTATAAAATACGTCCAGGATGATGTCAAGTACTGCAATATTTGACTACGGAAGGCCTACAAGCACTACTCAAGAGCTGGGGTCGCGTTATACACGAAAATAGAAACAATAACTGGATGTCCGCCATGCAAGGCTTAGGAGAGATAATAAAAAGACAAAATGTATTAAGAGCTACAAAGGACAGGATGTTGTAGAGATCCATGATCGCCAACGTCCTGAAGGGACACAACACATAGAAGAAGAAGAAGAAGAAGAAAGATTGACTCGCAAGAAAATATATAACAAATATGGTGGTAAATGTAAAAAGCTAGAAAAAAATCAAGAATATGAATAACATTGGCTAAAGACATGGAAACAACCAAACTACCACCATTAATCAAACATCAAAAAGAGAAAGAGATATATTGGCTGAAGAAGTACATTAAAACTTTTTTCAGAAGTGTTTGTTATGAATATCGTGATTCTTAATTTCTTCTTTTCGAACGTTCTTTTCGGCATGAATTCACCTTTTCTCCCCAGCTATGGGTTAATTAGTAGGAATTGTAAAAGATCAGTGAATTATTATTATCGTCAAAAACTTTTCACAATATAAAAAAATATATTTTTAGGATTTAAATAACCTGAAAAAACTTGGTAAGCCGCAAAAAACAAATTAATCAATCAGTAGAACGCTCTTCTCATATATTTACACGGCACAGCACATATTCTGTTAAAATTACACTGGTAAATGGAGCAGAGTTAATACAATAGATGCATAGTTACAAGAATAATTGGAAATAATTTGTGGTGGAAACAACTGTAGAAGCTACGAGATTTTCAACTATATAGGATTTGTATAGCAAGACAGGCAGTGAGTGAGGAGGCAGAGGGGAGTAATTGTTAGCGGTTCGGATTGAGGAATCGGAGTAGCCGAGTTCGAATTCCAGTCGAACACATTACATTCATTTACGTGCTATTAGTCTTGGATAAAGTAAAAGTATGAATCCTCTTCTCCTCTTCTCTTGGGAAAAGTATGAATCTTCTCCTCCCCTTCTATGAGTAAATAGGAGGAAAGACCGGGTTCTATAGGCTTGGATGGCAAATGGTCTACCGCAGAAAGAAATGGTAACCTACTGCGGGAAAAAAAATCTGCCTCGTCAGTCATGTATCAAAAAATACATGATCGCCTAAGCGTGTATCACTCATGGCACATAAGTGACAAAAGGACATTTTTCGAACATTTCCTGAAATTTTGGGAACTAAAGAGCCTCCAGAGTTTGGGGAGGCATTGCCGCCTACGTCGAGAGTCACTGATGTATATACTTGTCGCCTGGGCTAAAAGTTGGATCCGTCAAAGGAGTATTTAACCAATATGAAGAAAACAAGGTGTATGTGAACCGTTTCTCTGGGACAGGCAGTAAAGTTAGAGGTTTTCTAGAACTGATAATGGTATCAACTTAAACACAATGAATTATTCTAACATCGTAGTCAATACTTTACACAAGATCGTTTCGTAGGTTACTCACTACTCCCTTCTTCCCCTCCTTATTATTATGGTGATTTTCTAAGCATTGCTTAGATATGGCACAACGCAGAAAGTATGGAGTACCCAAAGAGGATCGAACTCACTATTCAGTAGTCATTTATCTAGAGAGACAAGCTTGCTGACCATTACACTAGGTCGAGTGCCAAAACATGATTTTCTTACACTATTTACATTATTCGGACTACTGTCTGATTTTTTGTCGCCATATTTATTACAACGTTTCGGTCGTTGTACGCTCCGGGCTTCTTCAGATGGTTAAAATGTCGTACTGAACCCTTTATTTCGCTCACTGGGGTAGATTGTTCTAGTTCCACGTGCCATGTTTGATGGATGCCAGTTATCAGTTATCTCCTCTCTTCAAGTTCTCCACTCAGGTATTGAACTCACACACTTTGTGTCCTGTCACTAGATCTAACTAACGCCTTTATCCATGTGTCCTTGAGGACATCTGTGTATGAATTTCTGGGTATTATAAGCTTAATGTCTTCAGCAACATTTTTTTTACCAGTGCTCATATTGCAATTTTTGCTGTTATCATCGCATGTTTTTATCAGGGCTCATATTGCAATATTGGTTGTTGTTATCGCTTTTTTCTCTGGCTCTCCTTATTACTGGTTCCCATATTATAATCATTTCTATGCTTGGTCGGCTCAGGAGATTTTTGTAGCCTAGCATATGTGCTGATTCCTTAAGTTTACGAACTTTCCAAAGATGTTCTTTGTCTATGATCTCAACCTGATCCCACAGAGGGTGGTGATCTCCCTTTTCTCTCCATATGAGGACAATAGTCCGAATAATGTAAATAGTGTACATAATACCTCATCTCAGAAATATAGACAAATAATGACTTTCTTAGTTTTGATGTGGAACAATACGAAGTATGGAGCACCCAGTGAGTAACGAACTCTCTATTTGGTCCGGACTGATATAGCCAAAGAAGCTATAGATTACATTACTTCGGGAGACAAACATAATTTTCTAAGCGGAGCTTAGATGTGGAACAAGGCTGAAATTATAGGGCACCCAGTGAGGATCGGACTCATTGTTCTATCGTAATTGATTGGGCGAAACAAGCTTGTTAAACATTACACCACGTCGATGTGGCCCTCTTGCTTTTAATACGTCCTGTGAGTGTCAACTTTTCTAATCCTTCTTTCCTCGTTATGTACCCTAGAAATTTCATCGTTCATTTTCTGATTCGAAGTATAATTGACTTTGTTTATATTTTCTTTAGATCTTTTGCGTTGCTAATATTCTTCGTAATATTTTCAGTATCCTTCTGCAGAACCATATTTTTGTTACTTCAAGTCTCTTCTTCATTTGCGTGGAAATTGTTAAGTATTCGCTGCCACTCACTAACCAAGAACATATATATATATATATATATATATATATATATATATATATATATATATAGAGAGAGAGAGAGAGAGAGAGAGAGAGGAGAGGAGAGGAGAGAGAAATAATCAGGAGGATTTGAAATAATCATAATTAAGTAATTTATCGAGTCTAGAACAAACTTCAGCAGAACGCACCCCTTCGGTACAGTTGGTATGGAGTTTGTCTCCTGTCGTAACTGGTCGGGTTTCAATTCTCGGTAGTGGATACGCACTGCTGATGAGTCCCAAATGTAGTACGAAACTGCTCTCTAGTGCTTTCTGCATTCTTTTGAGGTTTCTTCTAGACTCGATGAATTACTTAATTATGAGATATATATATATATACACACAAAGGATTATATCCCATACAAGTATATCTTGATAAATTTCCCAACAACAATTGATTAATGCTGGTTTTATTTCGAATATATTAAACTGCATATTACAACAAAGCATACAGGCATTTATCATGGTTTTATTATAACACAGAGAAAATAAT